ACTGGTTTATTTCATTTAGCATAATGACCTCAAAGGTCACCCATATTGTTGCATATTGCAGAATTTACTTCCGTTTTAAAGCTGAATAATAGTCCATTGTATGTATATATTACTTTTTTTTTGTCCATTCATCCATTAAAAGACTTTTGGGTTGCTTCCACTTCTTGGCTGTTGGGAATAAACCTGTTATAAACATGGATGTACAAGTATCTCTTTGAGATTTCCCTTTCAATTCTTTCGGGTATATAGCCAGAAGTAGAATTGCTGGAGCAAAGGGTAGTTCTATTTTTAATTTTGAGGAACCACCATGCTATTTTCCACATGATTGCTCCATTATACAATCTCACCAGCAGTGCACAAGGGTGTCAAGATTTCCCCACTGCCTCACCAACACTTATTTGGTCTTTTTGATAGTAGCCATCCCAAAGGGCAAGAGGTGTTATCTCCTTGTGGTTTTGATTTGCATTTCTTTCATGATTAGTGATGTTGAACACCCTCACATATGCTGTTGGTCTTTTGTATTTTTAGAAAAATGCCTATTCAAGCCCTTTGCCCATTTTTTATCAGGTTGTTTTTTTGTTGTTAAAGTGTAGTTCTTTGTATATTCTGGATAATAACCCTTTATCACATATATGATTTGTAAATAATTTCTCCCATTCCATAGGTTGCCTTTTCACTCCAGTGATGTGCCCTTTGATGTACATAAGTTTTTTAGTTTAATGCAATCCCATTTATCTATTTGGTTTTGTTGCCTGATTTTCATGTCATATCCAAGAAATCATTGCCAAATCCAATGTCAAGAAGTTTCCCCTATGTTTTTTTCTCGGAGTTGTATAGTGTGGGGTATTATGTCTAAGCCTTTAATCTATTTTGTATTAATTTCCATATATGGTATAAGATAAGGGTTCAACTTCATTCTTTTGAATGTGGATATCCAGTTTTCCCAGCAGCATTTATTGAAGAGACTGTCTTTATCCCACTGAATGATCTTTTTTTTTTTTTTTCCACTGAATGATCTTGACATCCTTGTCAAAGATCATTTATTTGACCATATACACAAGGGTTTATTTCTGGGTTTTTAAAATTTTTTTTACATTTTTAATACATTTTAATAATTGTTATGTTCTATTTTTTAATTTAATTTTATTTTTTCAGTGTTCCAAGAGTCATTGTTTATGCACCACACCCAGTGCTCCATGCAATACATGCCTTCCTTAATACCCACCACCAGACTCACCCATTCCCCCCACCAAAACCCTCAGTTTGTTTCTCAGAGTCCACAGTCTCTCATTCTTCATCTCCCCCTCTGATTTCCCCAAATTCACTTTTCCTTTCCCTAATGTCCCCCATGTTATTCCTTATGCTCTACAAGAAAGTGAAACAATATGATAATTGACTTTCTCTGCTTGATTTATTTCACTCAGCAAAATCTCCTCCAGTCTTGTCCATGTTGATAAAAAGTTGTGTCAACTTTTGTATCAACTGATTCATCCTTTCTGATAGGCTTTTATTCTATTCCACTTATCTGTAAATTTCTGTCTTTATGCCAGTACCACCCTGTTTTGATTACTATAGTTTTGTAATATGTTTTGAAATCACGAAGTGTGAGGCCTCCACATGTGTTTTTCTTTTTCAAGGTTATTTTGGCTATTTGGAGTCCCTTGAAATTCCACATAAATTTTAGAATGATTTTTTTTCCATTTCTGAAAAAATGCCATTGGGATTTTGACAGAAATTGAATTGAATCTATAAATTGTTTTGGACAGTATTGATATCTTAATAATATTAAGTGTTCTAATCCATGAACACAGGATATCTCTCCATTCGTTTTCTCTTTTTAAAATTTCTTTCAGCAGTATTTTGTAGTTTTCGGTGTAAAAGTCTTTTTTCACCTTGTTCATTAGGTCTATTCCTAAGCAGTTTATTCTTTTGATGCTATTATGAATGGAATTGTTTTTTAAATTCCCTTTCAGATTTTTCATTATTAGTGTATAGAAATACAACCAACTTTGTTGAGTCGATTTCATGTCCTGAAACTTTACTGAATTTGTTTATTACTTTTAACAGGTTTTTTTGTTTGTTTTGTTTTCTGTACAATCTTCAGGGTTTTCTACACATAAGATTAAATCATGTTCAGAGATAATTTTATTCTTTTCTCACTTGGATGCAATAAACAATTTTTTAAGTAGAATAAATGTGTTTCCTGTGTTATTGAGATATAATTGACATGTAACAATGTTTTCATTTTAGGTATGCAACATAATGATTTGACATATGTAAATTTTGCAAAGTGATTCCCACAATGAATTTAGTTGGCAGCCATCACTTCACATAGTTACAATCATTTTTCTGGTAAGAGAACTTCTAGGATTTACTCTTAGCAACTTTCAGATTACAATACGATATTATTAATTATAAACATCCCACCTATAAGTCATCACATCTTGTAACTGGAGGTTTGTACCTTTTGACCACCCTTACCCATTTCCCCCACTGCCCCACTGCTAGCAATCACCAATCTATTCTCTGAATCTGAGTTTGGTTTTTTTGAGATTCCTCACACAAGTGAGATTACATACTATTTGCCTTTCTGTGTCTAACTTATTTCACTTAGTGTAATGCCCTCAAATGGGCAAATGGCAGAGTTGTTGCTGCACAAGGCAGGATTCCCTTCTTTTTATGGCTGAATAATATTTAACTGTGTATTTATGCCACATTTTCTTTATCCATTCATCCATTAGTGAACACTTAGGTTGTTCCTATGTCTTGGCTATTGTAAATGGTGCTTCAGTGAACATGTGGATGCACATATTTTTTCAAGATAATGATTTCATTTCCTTGAGTCATACACCCAGAGGTTGAATTGTTGAATCATATGGTAGTTCTATTTTTAAGTTTTTGAGGAACCTTTATATTGTTTTCCATAGTAGTTACACTAATTTGCATTCTCACCAACAGTGCACAAATGTTCCCTTTTCTCTAGATCCTTGCCAAAGCTTATTATCTCTTGTCTTTTTGATAATAGATTTCCAACAGGTATGAGGTGACATCTCATTTGTGGCTTTGATTTCCATATTCCTGATGATTAATGATGTTCAATACTTTTTCATATACTTATTGGCCATTTGTATAGAGGTTGACTTATTGGAAACATGTCCAATTTCCTTATTTGGAAAAATATCTATTCAGTTATTCTGACCAGAATAAATTTTAGATACCACCACTTACTATCAAAAGTATAGTATAATCCACATCATTAAAAATATTTTTACAATGATTTTTAATTGTTGCATGAATCTATCATCTAGGTATGCCATAATTTATATGACCATTCTTCATTGTTCTATTGTTGGACATTTAGGTTGTTTTAAATTTGTTTTATAAGGAGCAGTATTCCAAAGTATATCTTTATGTGTAGTTCTTTGGTCACACTTAAGATTTTTTTTTTCTTTTATGATAGATTTATAGAAGGGAACCACTGAGTTAACAATCATGACTATTAAGACTTCTGACACATTCTTATGGGGCACCTGGGTGGCTCAGTGGGTTAAAGCCTCTGCCTTTGGCTCAGGTCATGATCCCAGGGTCCTGTGATCAAGCCCCGCATCGGGATCTCTGCTCAGCGGTGAGCCTGCTTCCCCCCTCTCTCTCTGCCTGCCTCTCTGCCTACTTGTGATCTCTCTTTGTCAAATAAATAAATAAAATCTTTAAAAAAAAAAAAAAAAGACTCCTGACACATTTTTCTAAATTGAACAAGCATAACCTTAAAAAATAATTTAATATACAACATTTGGGATATATCATATCTATCTTTTGAAAATTTACATTATATCTTATATTTCTTGATGACATGAAATGCATCATATATGTAACTTCAAATACACAAAGATATGAATTATATTTTTGATCACATTGAGCTCTTTTGTTCCTTTCCAAATCCTTCCCCTCCTTGGGGTGCTGGACAGCCAGTACCAAAGAGTGAGTTCCGATTGGTTGGCGTAGCCTACTCAAGGATTATGAAGTAGGAAGCAACTATGGGGCCAGCTTTAGATGAAGTTTTTGGGGACAGAGGAAATTTTTCATTTTTCTCAGGAGATACAGAGCAAGCCTAAAAGGCCTAATGTAGATTGAACAGTGCAGACCTAGTACAGACCTGTGATCTAAATGAGGCTGTTATTGCAATTGGGGGGCAATTGGAAAGGTGGGGAAATTGGGGACTGTCACAATGATAGTAGGATACTGCTGACATTTAGTGGGCAGGGGAGAGAAATGCTAGAGATATTGCCTGGCTTAAGACTATTTCCTAAAACAATTTTCCAGCCCCTAATGTCAGTATATCTTCCTCTGACACACTGGACTAGTTTTGTATTGATACATCTAAACTCCCAGGGCTACCCTGTATTTGTTCCTTTAATCATTAAGGACCATAGAAATGTGGAAATTCACATTCAGTGAATTCAGTGAGTAAATATCTTCAAAGTCCCTAAATATGGACCATTGAGTGTTGGGTACCTTTTTAAAATGTACTCTCCAATGATGATGACTTGAGAATAAAAAGACAAAATTTATATTTATTTAAAACCTATTGTGTACCACAAACTTTATGTACTAGTTTCTGATGGCTACTATAACAAATTACCACAAACTGAGTGACTTAAAACAAAAGATTTATTCTCTCACACTTCTTGAGGCCAGAAATCAAGGTACCAACATGTAGCAGGATTGCATTTCCTCAGAGGCTCTAGGGAATAATACATTCCCTGACTCTTCCAGCTTTTGATATCTGTAGGTATTACTTAGAGTGACTTCCCACCACCTTCAACGACCTTCTTCTCTTCTGCCTATCTCATGTTTCTCTGTCTCACTCTTATGTGGACATTTGTTGTTGGATTTAGGGCCCAGCTAGACAACCTAAGATGATTCCTCATGTCAAGATCCTTAACTTAGTTCAATATCCAGGACCCTTTTTCAAATAAGGTAACATTCACAAACTCCAAGAATTAGGACATGAATATCTTTATTGGGGGACCACCATTCAGCCCACTACACTTTACTTCCAGAATCTTAAGTTTTAAAGCAACTGTATTTCTTATTTACAAGTAAAGACATTGAAATTTAGAAAGAATAAGAATTTGACAAAAGCATCCTGGCACTTCAAGAGCTAAGATTCACCACAAGGCTCCATGATGCCTGGATCCAGTGCTGATAGGATCTGCCCCATGCTTGGTCCGTTACATGAAACTGTCCTCAGTAATGGAAAAGTCAGCCTCAGAAAACAGTGTTCACAGATGGCCTTGCATACACCACTTGTCTTGACCTAAAAGAAATAAAAGAACATTTTGCTAAATGTTCTAAACATTCTTTGCTAAAAGAACATTCAGTCTAATAGAAGAAACAATACAGTCAAGCTCTTAAAGGTGTTCTTTTCACAATCAATTCCAAATAAATATCAGTGTAACCTAAATTTAGATATTCATGCAATGTTCCCAAAGTGCCTTTTTCCAATTTCTTATCACCTAAAAAAAAAGACACTTTTCTCTAGCTCAGTCCAATTTGTTCTCTCAACATTTGTTGAGTACCTACTGTAAGTTTTTATATAACCTCCCTTGAAATCCTTCTTGAATATTTTTATTTTAGAGGAAGAATACATGTGAACTCACATACACATACAAAAGGGCATAAAGATACTCTAGCGTTCACTACATCCAGGTTATTTTTTAACCTAATTTATTGGATATTAATTTTTGTTACCTTTGCTTAAATTTAGGATATTTTAAATAGCTTTAAGATTTTACATAACTGCAAGTAATTATTTCTTTAAAAAAATTTTTTTTAAATGAAGATTTTTTTTTCCACAATTCAGATTTAGGAGTGATTTGAAACAGAATCAAGGAGTGCACATTCAGTCAAGACCATCAAAGCAATTGTAAAATAATGAGAATATTATGCTGCTTTTCTGAGACAGTTCATCCTTCTACTAAGAATAAGGTTTAAAAAAAAAAGAATAAGTTTTTCAATAGATATATATTCAGATATTTCAACTGTGATACATCTTACATAGTCAAAAAAAGTCGATAGTTTAGCATCATAGCATCTTGTAGGAAAGGGATAGATTTCCAGATAACTTTGTATGTTTGAGAAAATAATGTATCTAATGAACTTACACACAAATACCATCTGTTATTACTGATTGGAGAAACTTAGTGGAAATGCAAAAAATGGAAATGACATTAATTTGGCTATGTTGGAGAGCATCCACAGAAGAGACTCCTTAGATACTTTAAAATGTAAATAGTACCCATCGGGGGACATAGCCTCACTTCACATAATGGGTTTTCAGATAAACAAGTGGGGGAAATTTGCACTAATTCTATAGGGGCATAATTAAAAATAACTAGAAAAACCCCCATATTTTATGAATTAACTTCAAGAAAACAGACAGGGATGGATTTTGCATTTTCAGAAAATGGTGAGCATGTAGCACAGTCTTGGGATCTGAAGTCCCTAGCGATACAAGCTTCATTCCTTGTGTACCTACCAATTTACTTTAAAAAAAAGAAGAAGAAGAAGAAGAGGAGGAAGGAGAAGAAAAGAAAAAAAAAAAAAAAAGAATACACATAAAGGACTGTCTCTGGGAAAGAGAAAGCATGTGTTTAATGACTCAGTCCTTGGCAACCACCAATAAGTATCCCTATTAAAGGCAGCTAAAGAGTGTAATATATATACTGCAAATCTAGGAAAATACTAGAGTGGTTAGATAGATGATAGATAGATAGATAGATAGATGATAGATAGATACCTTATTGTGAAATGAAAAAGTAAATAGAATGACAGTCATTCTTGGCTTTTGCTACAATAATAAACAATGCCCAAATCTCAGTGGAACTACAAATACTTATCTCTCACTCACATTACATGAAGGCTATAGGTCTACAGGGCTTATGCTGAGTTTGGCTGGGTTCTACATATCTTCTTATTCTGGGATTCAGGTAATATTCATGAGAGAGAGCAGAAGTTGAGGGACAGAGCCAAATTACACAAGGACATTGTAATTTTCTGCTGGGACACAACATACTTCTCATCATCATTCCATTGGCCAACGAAGTCCAAAGTTAGTACAGTGAGGAAATATGTTGCATTAAAAGGAAGTATGGCAAAATCAGAGAGGAATAAAAAGTTGCTAACAAATAAAATAGTCTATCACACCTAAGATGTAGAAAACAGCAAAATAACATGACCAAACATATGTATTCTAAGGAAATATTATGATTATTAAACATTTGTGCAATTCAAGCAGGAAACTCCTCCAGTCAGTCTTGGCCCCAAGTTTTATGGAGTCTTAAACTTATGTAATTTTTGTGACCTTCTTTAGAAAAGTATGATTAAATACTGCTAATACAAAATTAAGGAACTTGAAGTTTAAGTTTAATTATCTTCAAAGTAAGTTCAATTTTTTCTTTAATTTAAAAAAATTTTTTTTTTCTTTAGAGAGAGAGAGTGTGTGTGTACGTAGGGGCTGGGTAGGGGAGGGGCAGAGAAAGGGGAGATAGAGAGAATCTTAAGCAGGCTCCATGCCCAGCATGGAGCCCCACACAGGGCTCAATCTCATGACTTTTGATCATGACTTGAGCCAAAATCAAAAGACCAACACTTGACCCACTGAGCCATCCAGGCACCCCAAGGTAAATTCAATTTTGTCTTCAGTTTATATAATATTAAAAAAAAAACCTTAATTTCATTCATCAATAAAATTGTAGCAAAGATATATCCTCCAAAATTTGTATTAGCACAGTCTTTATTAAGCTGGAATTCTTTTTTAACCATTTTTTTTACATTTTTATTTATTTATTTTTTAGTAATCTCTACACCCAGTTTGGGGCTTCAACTCACTACCCTGGGATCAAGAGTCAAATGTTCTGACTAAATCAGCCAGGTGCCCCAGCACAGTTCTTTAAAAATAAAATACCATAATATTTAATAGATAAATAATGTTTATTCATTTGGACCTAAGAACATAATTTAATAGTCTTCTGTCTTCTTAAGGCTGCCTAGGGCACAGACTAAAAGGAAGGTGGGAATTCTCCGAATGTCCTCCTCTGAAGAAACCCATCTTTATTTTATTTATTTATTCAAAGAATCCCAATTGGCTGCCATTGTTAAATATATTATGACCATCTCATGGTACTGTTTTAATGAGTATTTATAATTTTAGAAAAAAATTTTGGCTCTCCCCACCTCAGGAGATAACTGATGTGTAGACACAAGATTGTTACTGAGAATTAATTAATACATATTTTTTTCAGTTAAGCAATTTATTTCTTATACATTTTTATTTGTCTCATAATTTATTTCTTATAAATTTATTTATAAGCAATTTGTTTCTTATGAATTTTCCACATCCTTGATATTGTTGAAAATAATGAGAGAAATTACAGATGATGTGGTTTTCGAGCCTGGTGAGCTAAAAGTAAGGGATAAGAAGAGTGTAGAGTTAGAATATGTTGGGGAGTATGGGTAGGCCCAGATCCAGTCAGTAGGTAAAGATAAGTTGAAAGGTGGATGCCAGAAAGTCTTTTATCACTCTACTCTTTTCTTGGTGTGATAGGCAGGACAATGGCCCCCAAAGAAATCTACTTCCTGTTCCCCAAAACCTGTGAATGTGTTACCTTATATGACAAAAAGTATTTTGCAGATACGATTAAGGATACAGATCTTGAGATGGGGAAATTCCTTGGATTATCCAGATGAGCCCTACCTAATCACACCAACCCTTAAAAGCAGAGACCCTTTTCCAATAGTGGTCAGAGAAAGAGATGTGATGACAAAAGAGTCAGTGATACTTGTTGTAAAAGAGGCCCCACCCACCATGTTAGCCTCCACCTGCCAACACACTGATGTTAATCTGGTGAGACCCTTACTGGACTCCTGACCCACAGAACTGTAAGATAATAAATTTGTGTTGCTTTAATCCACTAAGTTTCTGGCAATTTGTTACTACAACAATAAAAAAATAATACACCTGGCGAAGCAAGGAAGTGAGCCACCTGATGACATAAGCAGATGGTATCTGAATTTTCAGGCGTGACTGCTCTAGGAAGATCAATTCCCTGACACTCAGCACCGTGTCCTGGTCTTTGACCCTCACCCAAATTTCTAGGGCTCCCCGAGGTACATACACTGCCACTCTGCCATGGCCCAAGAGGAATTATCTCCAACCCAGAAATCCCAGCTTACCTCCCCAGTTTCTTCAGTGTGTTTGTGAAGTGACATTTCAGAAAACTCTTAGTTTGATTATTCCGCATGAGGTAAAGCAGAAAAATACAGTTCGGCAACTCCATGGGTTACATTCTCCAGTGTGATCAAGCTATTTGCAGGGGATCAGGGAAATGATTTTGGAAGTACATTCACCTTCTACTGGTTGAGTGTTTGACAATTTGGTTTGTTCGTATTGCTGAAACAGAGCATAAAATGTTAAGTTCTTCTGTGGTCCTTGAAATATGGATATATTTGAACCGTTAAACTACATTCTGGGGCACCTGGGTGGCTCAGTGGGTTAAATCCTCTGCCTTCGGCTCAGGTCATGATCCCAGGGTCCTGGGATCGAGCCCCGCATCAGGCTCTCTGCTCCGCAGGGAGCCTGCTTCCTCCTCCTCTCTCTCTCTCTGCCTGCCTCTCTGCCTACTTGTGATCTCTCTCTCTGTCAAATAAATAAAATTTTAAAAAAAAACTATATTCTGATTAAACCCACTTAAACATTGTTGCAACAAATGCGTGTCTGTATTTTTGTTCTCAGCTGGACATTCTGCTGTGCACACAATATCTGTCTAGCTCCAAAGGGGATACTCAGGAAGAAACCATAAGAGGAACCTCTAATTAAAAACAAAGGCAAAAAATGAGTCATTTGGGAAAGTTGGAAAAAGATATAGAATATACACAAAGGCAAGGGATGGACTCATTCCAAGACATTGTTTAAAATAGTTTGAATGGAAATGGTCATTGACTGGAGGTGAGAAACAGTCACACAGAAGCTGTTATGAATGATTTTCTTTGCACATAAAATAGGCAGGAAAATGAAATCAAGCAACAGTGAAGCTGTGATAGATAAATGGACTAAATCTACTGGGGAGGAATAGAAGTCCTCCTATAGGAAGATACTTTGAAAGAATAAAGCCATTTGCCAAATAATGGAGCAGAATGATGAGCTTCATGTTAATTGATATTATAAAGTTGCTACATAATATTTTAAAATACTTTAATACATATTCTTTTTCAATAGCAAAGGATTTAATGTTGAGAAGAGTGTTTACCATCCTCACAGAGCTTAATTTCTGGATTTCAGCTGTGCATCACTAAACAAACAAAATGTAATATTAATAGAGATTTACGTTGCCCAGAATATTGACCATTTATAATATACAGTTATTAAAAGGAAGCACCAGTTTACTGACACTATTTAAATACTAGAGATTGGCAAAAGAGACAGTTATTTGTGTTCCTAAACTAGAGAGATTTATTCATGCCAACTTTCTTTCCAGTATAATCCAAGCAGAAGCAACAGAGTATATCATGTATTTCCCTTGAGATACAGCTAAGTGTTAAAAAGATCACTGGACTTGGTGCCAGGACACCTGGGTTCCCGTCCCCATTCCTCTGCTGCTGGCATTGACAATGCTAGGAGGCCTCCCAGAGCCTATCCTATACCTGAAAAACAGAGATAATGTTACCTATTTTTGTCTGATTCACAAAATGAGGTAACATGATACTCCATAGTATGACTTACATAAATATATACAGTATAAAAATCATTGAAATACCAATTTAACACACATATCCATCAGAACTTTTAGTAGAATTTTGTCAAAACTTAATCTAATGATAGTTTTATAAGCTGGTTCTTGTTCTTGTCATGAATTTAGGCTGTGTGTGTTTGCAATGATATTCTTTGCACATGAATATTGGAAAATAAAGGTGGCCTTCTCCATAGTTTTGCCTAGAGCTAGCCTTTTACCTTTGTTTCTGAGTTCTCTTGCAATTGCTCTTCATAACCACATTGTGTCTTCATTAATTCACTGATTTATTGACCAGCAAATATTAATCACTTATTATAAGTACATAGCACTATACAAGGTGCTACTCAGTAAACTCAAAGAAATGGACAGCTTGATTTTTTCCCCCTCTTCTAAACTGACTAGCTCTTTGTCTGAATTAATCAAATCAACCAGTAGGTTTTTGGCTTCCTGTAGACACAACTTAAATGTCATTTTCTATCTTGAAGCTGCTATTTTGAGTATTGGTGATGTGTAGGTGGAAAACTCTTTACTATTTAGAAATAGAGTACTATACAGTAAGGCTTATTAGACAGTTATTTTCCATTTGTAGTTTTTATTTCATTTAACCTTTTATTATGGAAAATTTTGAACATGTGTATAAGCATATAGGATAAAACAAAAAATTCCCATATACCTAACCTAGACTCAACAATTAAAAATTCATGGTCGATATTGCTTCACTTTACCCCCACCCAATCCCGCCATACTCCACATTATTTTGGCATGAACATCAGAGATTACATAATTTAATCCTTAAAATATGTATCCCTAAAGATAAGGATAGTGAAAAAATAACCACAATAGCATAATCACACTGAAAATTAATAGTAATTCTTTAGATCATCAAATATCCAGTGTGTGTTCAATATTTCAACTTTTTTATAATATTATCATTTTTTTGCAGTTTGTTTCAATCCATTTTCAAATAAGGTCCACATGTTGTGATTAGTTGTGTCTCTTAATTCAATTTAAACTTCAGTTTTCTCTACACTCCTCCCACACTTTATTTGTTAAAGAAACTGGGTCATTTATCTTGTGGTCTTTTCTATAGCCTAGATTTTACCGGCTGCCTCCTGTAGTATAATATGTTTTTCAGTCTTAAGTGGTTTCCTGAGTATTAGTATAGAACTGTGCTAACCAATATAATATCCACGTTTAGTTTCTTTTTTAAAATAAATTTTTCTGAAGAAAGTTTGATTTACAGAAAAATGTGAAGATTGTGCAGAGTTCACATGCAGTTTCTCCTATTACTAATATCTTTATTTATTAAGTATTTTTAAATCCCAGGAGAGTTACCATACACTCATATTAGTTTCAGGTGTACAATATATTGATTCAACAATTCTATACAGTATTCATCAGTATACAGTTATCATCATGGTGAGTGTATTCTTTAGTCCCCATCACCTGTTTCACCTATACCCCCATTATTAATGTCTCAAATGAAGATGATTAATTTATTATAATTAATAAACAAATATGGATATGCTGTTATTAAATAATATCCATACTTTACTTAAATGTTCTTAGTTCTTACCTGCTGTTCTTTTCCTCTTCCAAGAACTCCTCCAAGAAACGATATTACATTTAGTTGTCATATCTCCTTAGGCTCCTCTTGGCTATGACAATTTTTCAGATTCCTTGTTTTTGATGACCTTTACTGGATTCTTGAAAAGTACTGGTGCATTATTTTGTAGAATGTACCCCCGTTGGGGTTTGTTTGATGTCTTTCTAATGACTGATCTGGGAGTAAGGACTTCGGAGGGGAAAACCACAAAGGTAAATTATCATTTTCATTCTATCAGAGGTACATACAATACAGATGATTTATCACTACTGATGTTAACCTTGGTCACCTGGCTGAGGTAGTATTTGTCAGGCTTCTCCAATATAAAGCTATTCTTTTTCTCCTCTTTCCATAGAGTTCACTTGGAAGGATCCAGCAGTCAATCTTTCTGTGTTGTTTCCTTCTCTGTAAAATCAGTTGTTAAGGTAAGTTGGCATGGGGTGCCTGGGTGGCTCAGTCTGTTAAGCATCCAAATCTCAATTTCAGCACAGGTCATGATATCAGGAACGTGAAATAGAGCTCCACATAGAACTCTGCTGAGTGTGCAGCCTGCTTAAGATTCTCTCTCTGCCCCCCCTACTCGTGCTCTCTCTCTCTCTCAAATAAATAAATAATAATTTTTAAAAAATCCTCTCTCTTCCTCTTCCTATGCCCTTCCCCTGAACTCAACACGTGCTCACTCTCTCTCAAAAAAAAGATAAATTCTCTCATGTTTATAGAACTTAATATGTATTCTATATGTATGTATAGAATATATGAATATCTACATATATTGACATGTAAGTGTAATATATGTATGCACACAAGAAATAGCCCTTCTAAATGTTTAGTAACAATTGTCCCTTTCTTATCTTTAACAGTATTATATTTCCTTTCTACGTACTTTAATATTACATTTCTTTAGTAATAGTCAATTAAGGTAAACATTTTGTTAATTCAGACTGACCTCACCATCCAGTCCAAAGTAGTGGAATTTTGCTGTAGTTAATGTTTTCTCTGAATCAATACTGGAATGAAAATATTTTGATATATATTAATGAGTTTTTCTCCTTTGCATTTCTTAATGTGTGACCTATACTCATTCTGCCCAAAGCATTAGGATTATATTATAGATGGAATGCAAAAGTAAAGAGGGTTTTACTAATCAGCTTTAAATATCCAAGGCAGGGGTTTTGATTTTGAGCAATCAGCAGTCACAATTTCAGGGACCAGACCAAGCACTCAACTATAGAGACCAGTGAGGGTCCACTGAGGTCACCCTCTGAATCCAAAGCCCCTTCTCATCACTCTTCTACCCACCAGCACCCTTCACACAATGTCATAATAATATCTTAGAGCTGAGTAAGGAGAAGCAAGAGAAAATCTCATATAATTAGCATTCGCCCAAAAGGGACAAGCATGCCGAAAAAAGACTGATTAAACCAACATAAATTCAGTTACAGTGACTAAAAATTTAAAACATACTATATACAGGAACACGGCAGGGATGTCCATTATCACCACTGCTATTCAACATAGTACTAGAAGTCCTAGCCTCAGCAATCAGACAACAAAAAGAAATTAAAGGCATCCAAATCGGCAAAGAAGAAGTCAAACTATCACTCTTTGCAGATGATATGATATTATATGTGGAAAACCCAAAAGCCTCCACTCCAAAACTGCTAAAACTTGTACAGGAATTTAGTAAAGTGTCAGATATAAAGTCAATGCACAGAAATCAGTTGCATTTCTTCACACCAACAACAAGACAGAAGAAAGAGAAATTAAGGAGTCAATCCCATTTAAAATTGCACCCAAAACTATAAGATACCTAGGAATAAACCTAACAAGGAGGCAAAGAATCTATACACAGAAAACTATAAAGTACTCATGAAAGAAATTGAGGAAGACACAAAGAAATGGAAAAATGTTCCATGCTCATGTATTTAAAGAACAAATATTGTGAAAATGTCTATTCTACCTAAAGCAGTCTACACATTTAAGGCAATCCCTAACCAAAATCCCATCCATTTTTTTCAAAGAAATAGAAAAAATAATCTTAAAATTTATATGGAACCAGAAAAGACCTCGAATAGCCAAAGGAATATTGAAAAAGAAAGGCAAAGTTGGTGGCATCACAATTCCAGACTTCAAGCTCTATTACAAAGCTGTCATCATCAAGACAGTATGGTACTGGCACAAAAACAGACACAGATCAATGGAACAGAATAGAGAGCCCAGAAAGAGACTCTCAACTCTATGGTCAACTAATCTTCGACAAAGCAGGAAAGAATGTCCAATGGAAAAAAGACACCCTCTTCAACAAATGGTGCTGGGAAAATTGGACAGCCACATGCAGAAAAATGAAATTGGACCACTTCCTTACACCACACACGAAAATAGACTCAAAATGGATGAAGGACCTCAATGTGAGAAAGGAATCCATCAAAATCCTTGAGGAGAACACAGGCAGCAACCTCTTCGACCTCAGCCGCAGCAACTTCTTCCTAGGAACATCGCCAAAGGCAAGGGAAGCAAGGGCAAAAATGAACTATTGGGATTTCATCAAGAGCAAAAGCTTTTGCACAGCAAAGGAAACAGTTAACAAAACCAAAAGACAACTGACAGAATGGGAGAAGATATTTGCAAACGACATATCAGATAAAGGGCTAGTATACAAAATCTATAAAGAGCTTAGCAAACTCAACACCCAAAGAACAAATAATCCAATCAAGAAATGGGCAGAGACATGAACAGACATTTCTGCAAAGAAGACATCCAGATGGCCAACAGACACATGAAAAAGTGTTCCACATCACTTGGCATCAGAGAAATACAAATCAAAACCGCGATGAGAAACCACCTCACACCAGTCAGAATGACTAAAATTAACAAGTCAGGAAATGACTGATGCTGGTGAGGATGCAGAGAGAGGGGAACCCTCCTACACTGCTGGTGGGAATGCAAGCTGGTGCAGCCACTCTGGAAAACAGCCTGGAGGTTCCTCAAAAAACTGCAAATAGAGCTACCCTATGACCCAGCGATTGCACTGCTGGGTATATATCCTAAAGATACAAACGTGGTGCTCCAAAGGGGCACGTGCACCCAAATGTTTATAGCAGCAATGTCCACAATAACCAAACTATGGAAAGAACCTAGATGTCCATCAACAGATGAATGGATAAAGAAGATGTGGTATAACAATGGAATACTATGCAGCCATCAAAAGAAATGAAATCTTGCCATTTGCGACGACGTGGATGAAACTAGAGGGTATCATGCTTAGCGAAATAAGTCAATCGGAGAAAGACAACTATCATATGATCTCCCTGATATGAGGGAGAGGAGATGCAACATGGGGGGTTAAGGGGGTAGGAGAAGAATAAATGAAACAAGATGGGATTGGGAGGGAGACAAACCATAAGTGACTCTTAATCTCACAAAACAAACTAAGGGTTGATAGGGGGAGGGGGGTTGGGAGGGTGGGTGGGGTTATGGACATTGGGGAGGGTATGTGCTATGGTGAGTGCTGTGAAGTGTGTAAACCTGGCAATTCACAGACCTGTACCCCTGGGGATAAAAATATATTATATGTTTATAAAAAATAAAATAAAATAATAAAAAGAGAAGATGTGGTATATATATTCAATGGAATACTATGCAGCCATCAAAAGAAATGAAATCTTGCCATTTGTGACGATGTGGATGGAACTAGAGGGTTTTATGCTTAGCGAAGTGAGTCATTCGGAGAAAGATAAGTATCATATGATCTCCCTGATATGAGGAAGTGGAGATGCAACATGGGGGGGTTGGGGGATAGGAAAAGAAAAAATGAAAGAAGGTGGGATCGGGAGGGAGACAAACATAAAGGACTCAATCTAAAAAAACAGACTGAGTGTTGCTGGGGGGAGTGGGGATGGGAGAGGGTGGTGGGGATATGGACATTGGAGAGGGTATGTGCTATGGTGAGTGCTGTGAAATGTGTAAACCTGGCGAGTCACAGAACTGTACCCCTGGGGATAAAAACACATTATATGTTTATTAAAAAATTTAAAAATTAAAAAAAATAAAATTTAAAAAAAGCATACTATGTAGTAGGTAAGAAACAGTAAACCAGTTATGAGAAAAAGGTTATTAAATTTGCAACCCTGTTACAAATGGAAATGGCTTTCAAATGACAAATGTTTTGCCTTCCCTGGATGCTATGAGGATCAGCTAATGGGAAGCCACTCTGGAATGTGAGAGTGCTTACTGAAGGCAATGATAACGACAATTGCACACATGGCTCCAAGTATGCGAGAGTTGGGACCAGAGAAACAGCAGATATATCTCAGCTCTGGGCCAAGAAGCAAGGGCATAGACATGAAGCCAAGTTCAAGACAACTACCTAGTATCAGGGAAAAGGGACCAGAAGTCCACAGCTGTAGATTTAGCTGAGAAGTTGTGGAAGGGGAGCCAAGTGGGAGTGGAGGACCAGTTCTGATTACAACTTCCCTATGTGGGGAAGCAACATGGAGGCAACATTCTCCAGGAATGACATAGGGCCTAAGGCTAGATGATATATTCCTTAATTAAATTTATGATGAAAAAGACTAAATATCTAATAGCAGATTCGCTAAAGATATGCACCAGAGGGTGGCTCTTAGTCCCATGGGAAAAGTCTTGATTAAAATTAAGAAACACTGGGGTACCTGGGTGGCAAAGTTGGTTAAGGCTCCAACTCTTGGTTTTGGCTCAGATGGTGATTTCAGGGTCATGAGATTGAGCTGCAAGTTGTGTGCAGAGTCTGCTTAAGTTTCTCTGTCCCTCTGACCTTTCCTCCACTCATGCTCACTCTCTCTCAAATAAATGGATAAATCTTAAGAAAATAAATAAAATATCAACTCTGATACCCTGTGTCTTTTGATTAGGGCATTTAGCCCATTTACATTCAGAGTAACTATTGAAAGATATGAATTTAGTTCCACAGTATCGCCTGTCAAGTCACTATTTCTGTATATTGTCTGTTACTTTTGGGGTCTCTCTTCAC